GGGGGTCTCTGGGCCCATCCTGCTCTAACATGCTCACAACTCCACTTGAGACAGGGTCCTTTTGTAGGACCAGCATGGTGGGAAAGAATTGGGAGCTGTTGAGGGTGAGCCCAGATGTCCCACCACTACGTGAGGGGATAGCCAGCGGTTGCTATTGATATTTAGAGGGGCACAGAGGTCTTGGGCCAGAGGGAGGCCAAACCCAGTATCCCAGAGGTCTGGCCTAGTGGGGAATTGTGAGAACACCAGTGTCTAGGCAGGGCAGTCAGGCCAAGGGCAGCATGGGGCTGTTGCTTGGGAGAAGGAGGGGCACAGAGAGTGGTTCTGACTATTAGGGCTCCAGCTGAGAACCAGACTCTAAGTCCTACAGGGACATCAGAAAGCAAATGAGAAGAAGGCAGACACCCAGGCATGGGCAGACAGCTGCAACTCAGGGACACCCTGGCATGTGACTGCATGTACAACTCCAAGAGGTGTCATCATATAAAATGCACTGTGGATGGTGCCCATAGAGTTGTCCAGCATGGAACAGCATGCTGGGACTAGGCACCAGGTTCCCCCTCAGGCATCCTGGATCCTGAACTCAGGGCAGCAGGATGAACTCTAGGCCTGCTCACTGCTTTGGCCAGCTGGGGTGCAGCCAGCAGTGCAGGGAAGGATGTTTCCCACCCCCACCCCCCGCCCGCCCATGGTCGAGGACAAGAGGCCTGAGCTCAGCCCAGTAATGGCCACAACAGGTCAGGGAGGGAGGGAGCAGCAACAACAGGCCCAGCAGGAACTTTCCTCAGATTTACAATCTGCACTCAGTAATTACAGGCCACCCCACTCTGCCCTCTGGATCCAGACGGCCCGGCCCCTCCCAACCAACTCAGCAACACTGCCAACAAGACAGAAGGGTCCAGAGAAGGTTCAGGATGACTCACAGGACTGGTCAACTGGGTCCTTGATTTGAGACAAGAAATGACTGAAAAAGAACTTAAGAGTCACTTTAATTTAGAGGGTTGTTGTCCAGAGGACGGACTGCAAACACAAACAAGATTCACCACCTTGCAGCATACCAAATGCTTTCACCAGCAATTAACCTTGAAACAATGCAGGAAGGTGATTAATATCATCACCCAAGTAGTAGAAACTTAGGAAGTCCCAGGGCTAACAGGTGTGTGGGCCTTGTATTTCCACTACGGCACTGACCACCAGGTCTTCATCTTTATTGGAGATGGAATCACCAGAAATGGCCTGATGCAAGACAACCCAAGTTCAGTCACTAGGAAAACGGGTGAGCAAGGGCTGCTGTCAGGTCAGCCCGACCCCACGCAAAACAGAACAAAACGCTGCCATCACTGTCATCAGTTGCAGACAGATTCAGGAGCCATGGGGTTTTCACTGGCTAATCTGGCCAAGTAGATCCCCAGCCCTTTCTGCCTGGACCGTCTGACTCTGGAAGTTCTGCTGCTACCTGTCCAGCATCATGGCAACACACCAGCCTCCACGGACAGATGGGAGGGCCTGTGCTCAAGGCACATTGGCTGAGAACTGAACCCAGGTCTCCCGCACAGAAGGTGAGAATTCTACCCCGGAACCACCACTGCACCTTAGGGAGCAAAGCTAGGAGTTTTAAACCAGATCATGACATTCTTCTATTCACAAGGTCCTTAAGACTCAACGCTTCTCGTGGCTCACCCCCAAGAATTTCTGGTTTTCTCTAGTGGCCCAACCTAGCTGTAAGCAGAAGCTGTTTCATCCTGTTAAACCCTTGACAGGAACTCCGGTAGCACAGTGGTTAAAGCATTCAGCTACTAACCAAAAGGTTGGCAGTTTGAACCTACTAGGCACACTCTGCAGGAGAAAGATGAGGGGGTCTGCTTCTGTAAAGATTCACAGCATTGGAAACTCTATGGGGCAGTTCTACTGTATCCTAAAGAGTCACTATTAGTAGGAATGGACTCAATGGCAGTGGGTTTGGGTATTATTATTATTTTGGTTAAACCCTTTTAACACATCTAGATTCAGAGAGGGACTCAATCCTAACCACTGTCTACAGTGACGTCCCCCAACCAACTTCCTGAATGACACACTGCCACTCACCACAAGCTTTCAAATCCTCTTTATTAAAAATCTTTTTATTTTCCTTTTGTAAAAACAAACACTTTGTGGTCAGTTATGCAGATCAGGAAAAGTAGTGACAATTTATAGGATACTCAATAAATTCCAATACTTTGTAAGCTCTAACTTAAATTAACAAGTGTTTTTCTTATAAGCTGAAAAAGGAAAAAAAAAAAAAAAAAAAAAAAACCCAACTCTGGTCCAGTTCAAGTATAAGTGAACAGATCACAGCCTCACACTGTCCAAGAACAGAGAACCTCAATCCTAACAGCTGATGCTCACACCAACATCAGATTTATCAAACTCTTTGGGGATACTGTCAACATACTTTATTTCAGGTGTTTACAATGAACATTACATAGGCCTTTTGTTATATTAACCCAGGGTACAAATCAATCTGTTGCTCAAAGCAGCAACTGCTCTTGAGTAACCTTTTAGGAGAGATTTAAAATAGCTGACAAACACTGAAGAAAAAAAAAAAACAAACAAGAAACCAGTATTAAAAAACAAAAACAGTATTTTCCTGGTTGCCCTTAATACTGCATTGTGTGTGACAGGGATAAAAAGTGCAAATTATATAGTCATTGAAGGACCATGCCAATGGAATTGTATAAAAATAAATAAATATATATATATATATATATATATATGTATATGTATACACACACACACACACACACTAGTAGAGAATCTTAGATGCTGTCAAAACTAAAGACTTGGATTGAATGAGAGAGAGCCTGCCCTTTCTCCCTCCCAGGTCTTCTCCCCAGCTTTCCAATATGGAGAAGGTCCATCTACAGCAAGGGAGCCATTACATTACTGAAGAATGCAACTGTGTGAAAGGCTGTCAGGATTTCCATGGAAACACCACTGAGGGGGGGATGAGCTGGTGAGGTCAGCTCCCACTCTGCTACTAGCCTCTTTGAAAATATACAGTTCCAGTCTCTGATGGCGGCTGTAGGCTTTTCTTAGCAAAGTTCAGTGAGGAGGCCAGAGCTGCCCCCAGACTTCACTCCAGTGGGAAAAAGCCATATGGGGTCAAAGGTTTTCCAAGAGACTGGAGTCCAGAGTCAACGAGGAAACAGTCTGGATTGAGCCTCAATCTTCAGACCTTACTCTATTTGAGTAACCAAACTTCTCGAGGCCTCCAAATCGCTTGATGAAGAGTTCAAGTTTCTGGCTTCTTCCAACTTCTCCCACATGTCCGAACAGCTCTGCTTTCCTCTGGTACTTGCCCTAACTCTTCTCTCTTGCAGGTTCTCAGGAATTCTCTCCTCTTCCTTACCATTTACCTCAAGGTTCACACAAGATTAGTTTATGGTCCACATTTCTTTCTTTCTGTGCCTCAGTTTCTTCATTGATAAAAACATCAGTGTTGAACTAGATAATCTTTCCACTCTTCTTCCATTAGTTCGAAAGACAGAATGTGTGGTATATTCTTACCCACCATAAAAAAGGAAAAAACACAAAAAACAAGCCCTTCCCTGTGTACCTGCCTGTGGTCAGAAACAGAAACAGGATCCGCTCAGGGGAGAGTGAGTTGTCTTCCTTGTTTTGTTTTTCATCACTGAGTGCCTTCAGGGTAGTATTTTACTTGAGAAAACAGCACCAAGCTCCCTGCCCACCTTCCTGAGGCCTCCTCAAAGGCTGTTGCCAGGCCTCATTACCAGGCACCTTTGCTTCAAAACCCTTCCAGTGGAACATCAGACTAATTCTGTGGTCCATCTGGGGCCAAAAGGCACTGACCTCCCTTATCATCAGAAGCATGGTGGCACCTGGCCTTCATAATACTTTGATATCCAAGTCTGCACAAGGATGGACCCTGAGGAGCCTTCAACCCCAAATGCTGCCCTTCAGTCCTGCAGCTTTCTATCTCTTCAGCTGCACCTCCCCTCCATCATGGTGAGGCTGCTGTTCCCCAGAGTGCAGGCACCAAGGCTGAGTCAAGGTCAGATGCCATTTCCTTGTTTTTATGTTCCTTGAACCAATGCCACTCATTGCAGAGAGGCCAATATCCGACCTAAGCTCATACAACTACTGTTTTAGCTGGAGGGAGATGCTTGTTTTCATTTTCAATTAAAGTGACTCTATATCAAATTTGTTGTCCGGAATAGAATAAGCCCTCACATTTCCTGAAATCAAAAGTGGGGATATTAGTTTTGGGGGGCCTTATCAGAGCTTCTAACATGAAAGGCTCTTTTCTTTCTCCTTGAAATTCCTTTAATTTTCCTTTATGGTATGAATCTGGTGGCCTTCTAGACTAACTGAGAGGTTGAAAGAGTTATTTAAAACAGAGGCTTTTCAAAAAAGATGGTTCAGCTGCAGGAAGAGGCTCATGAAGCAATTCCTGGCTTCTGACAACTGACGACCTACTCTGGTGCCCCTCTCCTGCACAGCCAGCCCCCACTTAGCTCTCCCATGCAAAGGACGCCAGGCCGAGAAACCACTGCAGATCTCAGAAGTGGCTCTCTTTACCCAGGAGATGCTGCTAAATGTTTTCCTTGGATGATTTAGTCTGGACTGACTTGTTACACCCTATCAAGAATTTGAACACTGTGAAAATCCCTGAGAAGCTGCATTTTATGAAAAGGAAATGACCCTTGGCACAAAAGAAGAGAGAGGGAGAGAGAGCAGGGAAGAGAGAAAAAGGTTAATTGAAATACGGTGTAAGTGCAACAAGACAGTCAACAAACAGGCGGCTGGTGGCCCTCAGTAGGCTGGACATGCCAGGGTGACCCAGCCCCTAGAGACACCGGAGGGGCGTTTTAATGAGTGAGAACGAACTCAACAACGAGCCCAGCCTGTGTTTTCCTTCCTCCTGTCCTGGGGGGAGGCTGGGAAGGCACCCCTCGGCAGGCCCTCCCCTCCCACCTTCCAGCAGCAGCAGCGGCAAGAACTCAGAGCTTCTTCCTCTCGAAGTGTGGCACCATTCCACTGTCCTCAGGCCTCGGGCTGCCCGCCCCCTCAGCCTCCTTCAGGCCCTCCTCCGCCAGCTGGGACAAGTACTTCTGTGGTGGAAAGAGGAAAAGGGGAGGGACAGAGGTCAGCAGTGACCTGGCTGGAGAGGAGAGGACAGGGGTGTGCTTGGCCTGCCTTTCCTATCATGTGCGCCCGGTGGGACACCCTCTGCTCCACTGTCCCCTCATCTGGGGATGCAGGCCCCACACTAAGCAATGTGCTTCCTCCTCTCATGCCAGTTTACAAGTACTACGTGCAGGAAAAGTAGAAAGTACAGATACTAAGAATAGCCAACACTACCACAGCCCTTGATCTATGCCAAGTGTTGTTCTAGCTGCCTTACTTGTACAAATGCGTTTAATCCTCACAACTCCTCTGCCTGTTTTCCAGAAAAAAACCCCAGTCTCTAGGCAGTGAGTGCTCTTGGGGGGGATAAGGGGTGGCAGGGGGAGGAGTGAAGGCCATCCTACAGCAATTGTGAAAGATGAAAACCACAGCCTGACATCTGAGGCGTTTTAACAACCTGTTTCCTGTCAGGGCAGGCTGGCAGATTGAGGGTCTTGAGGTCCTTCCTGTCTGTTTCCATGGTTGGGGGTGTCTCCACCCCACCCCTAAATGCTCACTGCTATGAGTGGCCCTGAGCCAAGCACTGGGAGCCTGTCCAGATCAATGCTCTTGGGACATCTGCATTCAATACAATGAGACAGATCAGGAAACTGGCTGGGCCCCCAATAGGGGTCCTCTGATTGTGCCAGAGAGCCTGGTTTAGGTTCAGGGCATTGGTTACGTGTGTGGGCTCTGCCATCAGATGACTTGGGTTCAAATCCTAGCTCTGACCAGGCAAATCAGCAGACATCTTAAGGGGAATAACAATAATACCGCATAAGGTTGCTGCGAAGTCTGAGTCAATTAGAAAGCTTAAAGCATTTAGCACAACGCCTGGCACAAAATAAACACTGCGAGCCCTTGGGTAATGCCGATGGTTAAGTAGTTTGGTGGCGAATGGAAATGTTGGTAGCTCAAGTCCATCCAGAGGCACCTTGAAGAAAGGCCTGGCAGTCTACTCCTGGGGGGTCACCCACTGAAAACACTACAGAGCACAGTTCTACTCTGACACACATGGGTTTGGCATGGGTCAGAGTTGACTCAGTGGCAACTGGTTTTTGTTTTCATGTTGGCCTTTATCATCAGTGTTGCCAGACATGTGATTTTGGGAAAGTCACTCGACTTCTCCCAGCCAACCTGGGACTGTAATCTGTTAAGCAGAATGATTCTGAAGATCAGGCAAGGTGATGTGCGGCTGGGTTTACCTGCAGGCTCTGTAGAAGAAGCTGTGGTTGGTTTCCAGAGGTGGGTGCAGCATGAGAGGGAGAGAGAGAGGGGCAAAACGGGGACCCTGGGGCAAGGCTGCTGACCTGGAGCCTAGCCTCTCCGGCCCCAGCTCACTGTTGTTGTCAGGTGGTGGTCAGTCCCTCTCATGGCGAACCCATGTGTTAGAGCAGAATTGCCCCCATAGGGTTTTCTTGGTTGTAATCTTTATAGAAGCAGATTGCCAGGTCTTCCCCGTGAGGTTAACAGCAAGTGCTTAACTGCCACAACCACCAGGGTGGGGGAAATGCATGCTAAGGAAGGTAAGTGAATAGATCCGCTGGGCACAGGCGTGTTCTTAGGCAGCGAACTGTCCCAATAGGAGTGCTGACTGCGCTTGTTCCCATCACTCCGGGTAGGACCTCTCAGCCACAACCGGCAGGAGGGGACAGAGGCTCCGTTCCCCTGCCCTGACCCACAGAGCAGTGCTGACCCTACCCCAAGGCCCCCTGGTGGGGGCTAAGTTTACAAGTTGCCTGACTTAGGCATCAGTCAGCACCTACTGCTCTAGTCTGGATTCTTTACTTTTCACACGAGTAACTTGGGGTGGGGTGGGCGAGGCTGTGGGGACAGAGGTATGGTGCCAAGGCCACTGACAGAAACCCTATTGGGAAGCCTATGGTGGAGGTTCCAGCTTCCCAACAGGTGTGCCCAGGAAATGTGAATTGTGGTTGGCCAGTGTGAGGGGCTGAGCCAGTGTCTGGGCCTGAGGGGCTTGGGGATCACAGGAAAGGTGGTGGCCTGCTGAGGGGAGAAGGTGAGTGTGCCCGGGGCCTGGCCCAGATCACAGTGCAGCCCTCACAGAAAAATACTGGATTTGGAGTTTGAGGCCCTGGCCAATTCTGACTCTTCCTAACTGCATGAATGACCTTGAGCTGTGTGGTCTCCTAGGGTCTATACAAACCAGGTAGAATGCTGGATGAGAGATAGGGTTCTCACATTTGAGTGAGTATCAGAATCAACTGGAAAGGTTTGTTTAAAATACAGACCCCCAGGCCCAGCCCTAGAGAGAATGATGAGTGTGTACAGGATGGGGCCTGTTGTTGTTGTTGTTGTTATGTGCCGTCGAGTCGGCCCCCCAACTCATAGCGACCCCTCCTTGGGTTTCCAAGGCAGTATCACTACGGAAGTAGGATTGCCCAACCTTCCTTCCGAGGATGGGGCCTAGGAAGCTGCATTTTGAAGACACAGGTTGGCAGGAGGAAACTTGAACAAGATGCTCTCAAAGCCCTCCTCCAGCCCTGCCATTCTGAGGCTTCATCTTGGGGTGGGGATGATGACATCTTCAGGGTAGACAAGTACCCTCAGTTGGCCCTGTGGAGTCCAATTTGAACTAGCCCTGCCAGCCAAGTCAGACTCTCAGACCGCCCTTCCCCAGGAGACACTGGGCCTTGGCCCCATGGCTGCCTTGCTAACAGCAGTTCTCTGGAGGGAAATCAAGAGGCTTAAATGACCTGAGTTTGGGCACCGCCATTGACAGACCCTTGTAAATGATGACCTGGACCATGACTTACAGGCCTCAGTTTGCAAGACCAGTTTAATAGAGTAAAAAGAGGAAAGTGATTAACCAGGTGATCTGGCCCCAGGTCACTATCTGCATGGCCTGGGACAAATCACACACCTCTTCTGGGCCTCCGTTTCCGCCATTAAAAAGTGCAGGAGTTTGTACATCTGAGTTTCTTAACTGTTGTTGTTATGTGCCCTCGAGTCGGACCCGACTCATAGAGACCCCTCCTTGGGTTTCCGAGGTGGTATCACTATGGAAGTAGATTGCCCAAACTTCCTTCTGAGGATTGGCTGGTGGGTTTGAACTGCCAGCCTTCTGGTCAGCAGTCAAGTGCCTTAGGCACTACGCTACCAGAGTTCCCAAGTTGCTTAACTAGGAGGACACATTTGAACAGTGTGGAGGACTTTCTCAAATTATGTATTCCAAGGCCCCACCCAATTTCTACAGAATCTGACCTAGTAGATGTATGCTAGAAAAACTGCCCAGGCAACTCTAGTTCACATTCCTGCTTCAGAACCACTGGACCAGCAGCTCTTTAACTGTGCAACTCACACTCATGGGTCTCAGCAGCCATGGCCATCTGGAATGTGGTATGCTGCCACCACCAGGGGCTTCTCAAGTTGAAGTCCAACAACTAGTCTGATTCCCTGTAACAAAAACTGCAGGTGCCTACCGATACAGACCCCTGGGCCTCTCATTCGGTGGACTTTGTTGAGTTACTGAATCACAGTCTACACATGAAAACCAAACTCTAAGGTACATTAGTAGTTAGGTATATATTATAAAATATATCACCTATTTTATTTATTCTAAGACACGATTTTATTTACTCATTAACAGTTTTAAAATTGAGATGTGTTTTACAATCAATGGAATGTCACTGTTTAATTTGCAACATTTTTTGTAGATATCAAAAATAGTGTTATGTCTTATAACTAATTATATCTTAGTTTAGATAAAACATGGTATATGGAGTATTTTTCATATGTCACCTCTTAATATACTAATTTATTCATTTTATTTACTGTGTGTCTCCTGGACTAGAATGAAATCTCCATGAGGACAGAGATTTTTGTTTGTTTTTTTTCATTGTTCTATTCTAAGGAGCTCTGTGGCATAATGGGTAAGACATTTGGCTGCTAACTACAAGGTCAGTGGTTCAAACTCACCAGCTGCTCCATGGAGGAAGATGAGGCAATCTATTTCCATGAAGATTTCCTGCCTTAGAAACCCACTGGGGGTTGCTATGAGTTGGAATCGAGTCAATGGCAGTGGATTTGGTTTTTTTTTTTTAATCCCCAGTGCTTAGAACAGTGTCTAGCACTAATATGCCTGTGATGAACATATGTGGAATGAATGAACAACTAAAAGTAACATAAGTGTGGTTTTTATTCCAACAAACAGGGACACAGAAACATGGGGCAATACCTGCATTTAGAAGAGTCAGGTCTGTTGGAGAGGGTCTCCCCCTAAGCAGGTGAACACTGGCCCTATTCACAGGCAAGGGAGGGAGGCAGATAGAAAAAACCAAGCCACGTAGAACAGTTAAGTACTAACATAGAGACAGGTGCTCATTCTGACTGTACCTGGGAGAACTCTGGTGGAGTGAGGTCTAAAGAGTAGGAGGTCTCATGTAGTTGAAGGAGATCAAACTCACGGAAGCAGAGAACAGCATGATGTGCCTGGGGAACTGAGTGGGCCTTGACAGTGGGGGCTAGAAACAGAGGCAAGTGGGGCCAAGCTTGCCAGGAAGCCTGATGCCTGGCCTGAGCATGGAAGCTGGGGACCCACATGGGGTGCTGGGCAAGAGAAGTGACTGTTACCTGTAAGTTCCTGTAGTGGACAGCACTGCGACAGTGACTCATCTTCGCCATCTCCTCACTTGTATAGAAGAGCCCACACAGCTTGCAATAAAACCCAGTCCTGGGCACTACGAACTCCACCCCTAGGAAGATGAGGGATGGATAGGCGGGCATTAGAAAGGCAGTGGTAGGCCCCTGTGGCATGGGTGGAAACAGGAGTGACGAGTTCCACCCCTCACTTGCTGTTGACTTTGGCTAACTACCTAGCTTCTCCAAGCCTCAGTTTCCGCATTTGCAAAACAGGCTCAAAAGACTAGCACCCACTTCATTCATAGGTGGTTGTCAATTTCAGGGAAGGACTCAGTAGAACAGGGGGGCATGCCTAACAATTACTTGCTCGGCAATGGCCTTTGGGAATTTAGGACCAGAGCCCTTCCTATCACACTGCTTCCAGGGAACATCAGAGGAAGAAAATTCTCCCAATTTCTGACATTTCACTTGTTGAATTTCATTTCTCCACCCTGTACCACTCTTTCCAGCTGACGTGAGCAGGGCTCTGGAAGAATTCTCTCAGTTTTGTTTATTTTAGAATTATGTTCATTGAAGAAAATTTTTAAAATAAATAAAAGTGAGGAAAAATCGCCCAGAATCACAACAATCCAAATATTTTTTTCCACACTATTTATCTATACATAGGATGTGTGTGTGTGTGAAGACATACACACACACACCCTGCTTACCAGGCACATGAGTGTGAAGCTCCAGCCAGAGTGTGTGTGTGTTGGAGGGGGATGTTGCAAAGCAGGATGTCTGATGCAAGAAAATGAGAATGCTAACCCCTGAGAGCTCTGAGATCCTACTTTCCAAGATGCTGGGGCTGTCCCCATTTGAGCCAAAACCATTCAGCTGCGCTTGGTGCTTCCCCCAGAGTTTCGAACCAGTTAGAGCTGGTTCAGTCATGGTTGATGAAGTGAAACCAGAACAGATTGGAACTTTTAAAATCTGGAAAGCTAACCAGAACAGGAAAAATTATGGCACAAAGTTGTGGAAGGGAAGACTCGGAAGAGGCATAGTAAGCCCTTTCTGGAGCCTGATGTATGACGTTGGATTACTGCCAGGACCGTGGAGCGCCATGCACTTTCAAAGCCACACAGTTGGCTGCCATCTTTGAGAAGGGCACCATTGTCTTCGATTTGGTGAGTCAAGAGATTTGGTTGCTATGTAATGTGCATGACTTTATTTTCTAAGAGGGAGATTAGGTGTCTAGCAGAGCTTTGACCTATCATTTTTTTGTTCCAGTTAACATTCCAGTTCACCCACATTTTAAAAACTCAGGTCTGTTCTGGTCATCATTGGCTATGACTGAACTGGGCTGAACTGTTCAAAGCCCTGACTTCCCCTCTTATTAGCTGCAATGGGGGATGGACTAAAATCTGGCCACATGTAGCAGGAGAGAAAGGGCTCAGAGAGGGTCATACAGAGGAACAGCAACTTCTTACAGGGAGGAAGACAGGGGTCCATAAACAATGGCACCCAAGCCAACCTCCACAGTGTTGTGTGAGACCCCCAAGTCCCTACCAAGTCCCAGCTCCTCTTCTTTCATGTTCTTTCTCCTCTCTCCCATGAGCTTGAGCTAAGTGCATCCAAGACCCTACCATAGAGAAGGAGCCTAGACTTGTAATTAGAACATTTTTCCCCTTCAAAAAAGCCATTTGTCAGTGTGGAGGGCCAGGTCTCTGTGAGGGGGAGTAGGAAGCCTGGGAGGCCTGCCCAGGCTGCTGGGACTGATTGCTTGGTTGGGGTTTGGGCCTTGGCCTCCTCAGCTGGGCTTTCTCTGACCACCACATACCAGCCCCCATGCCCTGGGCACAGTCTGCAGCAGCCACCTTTGGGAGGGGCCTCCTGGCCACCAGTGCAGCTTGCCAAATCCTGAGACACTTTTCGCCCCAGACCCAGCTGTCCAGAGGGAGGCTACATCCTTCCTTGCTTCACCTTCCTCCTACCTTCACTAGAAAGGATAGGAAAGTGGCCTGGCTATGCCTGGGGACGACTGTCCCTGGGGACGGTCAGTTCATCTTTCCAGCTGACAAACAGGCCCAGGCTCCGAATTGTTGAGGATAAATAAGCATTAAGTAAGGTTCGCCTCTGTCTTCCATGGTTGCACAATGGTTCTCCCCAGGCTGCCTCTCTGCAGGGAGCAGAGGCCCACATAATACAAGATGAATGAAACTGGAAGCAGAAAAGCACCCAAAGGAGGCCAGGGCTGGGGAGGAGGGGCGTGGAGCACAATGAGCTTACGCAGGCCAGTCGTCAGAGCCACACCCTCTCCATCCTGCCCAAGATGCTGCAGATTGACCAGCCGGGTGGTACCAGGGTGACAGAAAGGTCCCTCAGTGGCATAAATGGTTTGTGGCTAACTATTAACCTAAAGGTTCGTGGTTCGAATTCACTCAGCAGTGTTGCACAAGAAGGGCCTGCCTATCTGCTTCAGTAATGACAGTAGCCAAGAAAACCCTATGAAGCAGTTCTGCTCTGTAATACACAGGGACATCATGAATCAGAATCGAGTGGATGGCAACAGAGAATAGGGTGAGTGGCAGAGGCCTGCAGGTCTTTCTAGATTTCTCAAGGACCATCTATCTAGTCTCTGTCCTGGGAGCCCTGAGAGTCAGGCAGCTGCCCCAGGGGCCACCAGCTGGCATGGCTCTCACTCGTGCAGGGTGAAATTTCACTTGACAAAGTGTCCACTGCCTCAAAAGGGAAGCTGGGACGCCACAGTGTAGTGGACAGAACATGCATTTTAGAGTCAAGTAGACCTCATTTTGAATTCCAGATCCTTTATTACATGGTGGCCTCTCTGAGATTAGTTTTCTCATCTGTGAAACAGGCAAAATAATCCCACAAATGGTACTGGGGAAGCAACTATCTCTTTGCTTGGTGCTCAAAAAATATTAGTCTCCAGACACTTAAACATTTTTTTATAGGGACCAACTGCCCTGGCATGGGTCTCTCCACTCTTCAGTCTTTCACCAAGGCCACCTGCAGAACCCAGACTCGAGTTCGGCAGCAACGTCTTTCCCTGCCCTGTCCTGCTTGTAGGGGTAGTGTTGCTATTCATTGGCATCAAGTTAGCTCCTACTCATGGTTCCTTCATATACAACTGAATGAAGCATTGCCTAATCCTGAGCCAGCTTCATGATCATTGAGCTGCTGGAACCTACTGTAGCCACTCTGTATTCTGAGCATCTTCCAACCACAGGGCTCATCTTCTTCAGCAGGGTGTTCTGTTCTGATCCATAGGGTTGACGCCAGCTAGTTTTCAGAAGTAGATTGCCAGTTCTTTCTTCCTAGTCTCTTAACCTGGAAGCTCTGCTGAAACCTGTCCACCATGGGTGACCTTGCTTGTATTTGAAATACTGGTGGCATAGCTCCCAGCATCACAGCAACACGCAAGCCACCCAAGTACAACAAACCGATGAATGGTGGGCAGGGGCAGTACCAGGCAGGGAAGCAGCCTGGGCGGGGAGAATCCCCAAACAGCTGGTAACTCGTCCCTGAGCTACTGGAGTTTCTGTGGGCACTACAATGGCCACACCACCAGTTCATGATGCTTCTGGAATGTGAGGGGAAGTGAAGCGGTAGCATCAAGATAAAACTGTCCCAGTCCTGACAAGTTATGGAGCCACTTGGCCCTCCCAATTCCAGGCTCTGTTAAGTAGGATAATTAAAGCTGCATTTGACTTCTAATAATAGCTCCTGGGCGAGGGTAATTATAACTCTGTCATCCTAGTAAACCTGGGGTGGATGAATGGAGAACTCGCGTTTAGCAGGTGATGCCGTTGGGCCCTGGGAAGGACAGGCCTTGGCAGGCCCACGCTGGCTGAGAGCCCCCAGAACCAACCTGACACACGTGGGCAGTACCTTTTCCAGCCCTGTGCCCACCTCAATAACAGCCTTTCCCTGAACGACGGGACCTCGCCTCCCTTCCTCCTGATGGTGTACCCCAGTCCTTAGCAGTCCTCATTTAGCCTCCCTGCTCTCCAGAGGGACAGACTGAAAGTTGTCTCCTCCAGCCCTAGATGTCTCTTTGCCAACAGTGATGGATCCTGGAGGGAGAAAAATTATGCAGCCACAGTGAGAGGAAACACAGCAGGTCTCAGTAAGCATATTTCATGAATGAATTTTAAAAAAAGCAAGAGACAGATATCCTATTGGTAGACACTGAGAATCCCTGAGTGGTATAAATGGTTAAGTGTTTGGCTACTAACGGAAAGGTTGGGGGTTCAAAACCACCCAGAGGCACTTTGAAAGAAAGGCCTGGCAATCTATGTTTGAAAGTTCACCAAAAAAACAAACCAAACTCACTGCCATCGAGTAGAACCCATGTGGAGTTCCGGGGCAGTAAATCTTTATGGAAATAGATTGCCCGGTCTTCCTTCCGTGGAGTGGCTGGTGGATTTGAACCACCAATCTTCTGGTTAGTAGTCAAATGCCTTAGGCACTAGGCCACCAGAGCTCCTTTTGAAAGGTCACAGCCACTGAAAACTCTACGGAGCACAGTTCAACTCTGACACATCATAGCTCAGCACTGACACAATGCCAACTGGTTTTTTTTTGGGGGGGGGCAGTAGTATTGATAGGTTCTAAAACCTTATAGGGAGCTCTGGTAGCCTAAGGCACTTGACTGCTAACCAGAAGGCTGGAGGTTCAAACCCACCAGCCACTCCTTGGAAGGAAGCTGGGGCAATCTACTTCCGATACTGCCTCGGAAACCCAAGGAGGGGTCACTATGAGTCAGATCTGACTCGACGGTACATAACAACAACAACAACACAAAACCTTATAAGTATTCATTCATTTAATTCTCAAAATAACTCCAAGATGTAGGCAGCTAGTATCATCCCTGATTTATACATGAAGAAACTGAATTTAACTTATATCACCCTACCAGCAAGTAGCAGAGTTGGGATTTGAACCCAGGGAGGTAGATTCCAGTCTGTGGTCTTAACCACTGCACAAAATGGCCTTTCCTACATTGTGCTGTGTGAACTGGAAAAAAAGGAGGGCAGAGCGGCCTTAGATCAGAAATCTTGCGCTCAGACCTGAACTGCACTCGGGCCTGAACTGCGCTCAGACCTGAACTGCCTTTGTGAGCTCGAGGAAATTGCTGGTTTCAGTTTCTTCACCTGTCAAATGCAGAAAACAGCAGTGCCGCCCTCCCCAGGGAATCAATGCAACAAGAGGGCGCAGAGCTAAATGAAGATGAGAAATGAGTGCAATGTGTGATGGCTCCAAACTGGAAAACAACCCACATGTCCATCCACAGGTGAGTGGATAAACAAAATGTGGAACAGCCATGTCCACAATGCAATACTCCTTAACAATAAAATGGAACAGATTCTTGTTACACCCAACAGTATGAATGAGTCACAAAACAAGTATGCTGGGGAAAAGAAATGAGGCCAAAAAAGAGTATATACTGTATGAATCCCTTTATATAAGAACTCTAGGAAATGCAAACTAATATTTAGTGACAAAAAGCAGATCAGTGGTTGCCAGTGGGCTAGGATATAGGGAGAAAGAGATTACTAAGGAGTATAATGAAATTTTGGGGGTGATGGATCTTTTCACTACCTTGACTGTGGTGATGGTCTCACAGGTATATACATACATCAAAACAGATAGTACACTTTAAATAATTACAATTCATTGTACATCAATTATACCTTAATAGAACTGTTAAAACTAATATGATACCATTTTCCTCCTAACAGATTGGCAAAGATGAAAGAATGATTAACATGCAATGCTGGCAAGGGCCTGGAGAAATGGGAATCTTCATACAAGGTGGCAATGACAACTGGTATGATCTTTATGGAATGCAATTTAGTAGCAATAGTGAAATTAAAAATGCAAATACGTATGGCCCTACAACCCCCTGGGGCTAGGACGCTGTCTTACGGAAATGCTGGCACACATACAAAGGGAACTGAGCAAGCTGTGTGGACGGCAGAGACGCTCAGAGGGTGAGGACATGGTGCTAGAGTCAGATGACTGGGGTTTGAAACCTTGACTCCAGTCTTTGCCAAGCATTAGCTTTGTGACCCTGCAACTCAGGTTACTTATCTGCAAAACAGGGATAAAGATATTACCTAACTCACAGGGTTTTTTTTTTTTTTTTAGCCAACAGGAGATTTTATTAAAGAGGTGAAAGGGCGCCTGCACTGAGGAAGGACAGAAGAAGAAGAGGAAGAAGAAGAAGAGGAAGAAGAGAGTAAGAAAGAGGAAGAAGGGAAGAAGAGAGGAAGAGAGAGAAGAGCAGGGGAGAGGGTGGTCTTATATAGACCTGGGGTTAGGAGGTTGTACATCAGAGCTGGGGGAAGATGTCTTAACCTATCAGAGGCTATGTTGCCTTTTAAAATTCGCGCCTTGCAGGAAGCTCAGTTTCAACTTCCTTTAACTGACCCATGACCTTGGGTGGGGCAGCAGGGAATGAAGAAGAACCCGGAAAAGCCATGCAAGATGGCGTGGCATATCTCTAACATTCCCCCTCTTTGGTTTTTTAAAAGGAAATAAAAAAAGAAGGGCCTGCTTTTGTGGGAAAAGGGGCGAAGGTCAATCTTCTGGAGCTGCTGCCTGCTGGTGAGGGGCGCGGCGTCTTTGGAAGTGGGGCCTTCCAGTCTGTACACACACTGGAGTTTGTCTCTTGTAGTACAAAAACCAGTTTTCTTTTGCTTCAACTTCAGAGAAGCTGTGTTGTTTTGCCTGGTTGGTGATTTGTAGTATGTAGGGGTCCTCAAAGAAGAGGCTTCTAAAGGTGTCAACTCCCAGGGGTCGGCTGAACATGTTTGGCATCTGGTGTTCTGGGACCCAGGCTGGGGTGAAGGTGATGATTTGCCGGTGTTGTTTGCTGGGAAGGTGCCAAGGAAGATGGTCGCGGGTGCTGGGGGGCAGGTCAGAGTGCCGGAGGAATGGGGGTTCTGGACCCTCCAATGAGGAATCGGGGGCACCAGCAATTCCGCTTCTGACACCAATGTTAGAGCTCCGTTGGCACTCAACGACCACGCCACACACCAGGGTACCCAACAGGAGATTTTATTAAAGAGGTGAAAGGGCGCCTGCACTGACGAAGGACAGAAGAAGAAGAGGAGGAAGAAGAGGAGAAGAGGAAGAAGAGAAGAAGAAAGAGGAAGAAGAGAAGAAGAAAGAGGAAGAAGGGAAGAAGAGAGAGGAAGAAGAGTCACAGGGGTTTTTGACAGGGTTCAAAGAGATACTATACACAAAGTACTAAGAATAGTGCCTACATAGTAAATGAAAAAAAAATACACACTTGGCTATTATAGCATTTTTATAATGGCAAAAAAAGAGAGAGAGAAAGTTGCAAACAACCTAAATGTTCATCAGTAGGGAAATGGGTTAGCAATGCATGGTACATCTTCAAGATGGAATTTTTGCAGTGATTAGACAGAATGTGTTTCTACAGTCCAACATGAAGAGACCTCTATGACCCGTGTTACTTGAGAAATGCAAATCACAGAACAGAATGTAAATAGGTGGTATGGGAAGAAAACTGCCCATGGATAGGACAGAGACTACCTCTGGGGGCTGGGGAGAGACTGGAGGGAAGAGAGACAATTTTTAATGTTCATGTTGCATAGTTTTTATTTTTCAATTATCATAATCTTGCATACTTAAATTTTTTTCTAGTAAAATATACATCACACAAATTTTGCCATTTGAACCATTTTGAAGTGTACCATTCAGTGACAATAATTATCCGCCATGTTGTGCAACCATCACCATCTACTTTCAAAAAACGTTTCCTCAACCCAAAAAGAAACTCAGTCCCCCTCAGGCAATAAATAACTCCTTATCTCCCTTCCCCAGCCCCTGGGAACCACTAATAAACTCTTGTTTCTGTCGTTCATACTTTTTGCAGCGCAAATAAATAAAGGAACAAAAAAGCACTATTTATAAGAAAGCAGAATTTTATTCATCATTTTTGCTTGTGTGTCAATTAAATTCCAAGTTTTTGGAGGACAAGAGACTCCTGGAACATTTATGGGTTTTCCCAGCATTCCCAGCACAGTACCATGTCCTCCAGTAAATATTTACTGTAGGTATGAATGAACCACCTGGCATACCTTTCTCCTAACAGTCAGCCTTTGCAACTGTCTTCCAGGGTTAAAACACCCAGAAGGATGATGTACCGATACATGGTACAACATAGGTAAACTTTAAAAATATCACTAAGTAAAAGAAGCCAGACACAAAAGGCTACATATTGTATGATTCCATTTATATGAAACATCCAGGACAGACAAATCCATAGGAAGAGAAAGTGGACGAGTGGTTGGTTGCCAGGGGGAAGGGAAGAACAGGAGTAACTGTTTAATGGGTGCTGGGGTTTCCCTTTGGAACAATAAGGATGTACTGGAACTAGACAGAAGTTGTGCAACACTGTGAATGTGCCCAATGCCTCTGAATTGAGCACTTTAAAATGTGAATTTCATCTCAATAAAACAAAACAGAAAATATCCATGCAGTCAACTCAGTTCATTCAAAGGGCAGCATTTCTTTTTCTTTTCTTTTAAGCTTTTGTCCTGGGGGATGCTGTGCAAATTCACCCCTTAAGAGACAAAGGAGAGAAGTGTGCTCTCAAATCTGACTCTATGAAAATGCCATATTTAGAGGAAAGAAAGAGTAAGAGATTTTTTAAAAAAAGAAAAACAGAAACTTGGATGGAAACGGTGAGCCTCTGTAATGACTGTTGTTACGTGCCGTTGAGTCGGACCCAACTCATAGTGACCCCTCCTTGGGTTTCCGAGGCAGTATCACTACAGAAGTAGATTGCCCAACCTTCCTTCCGAGGAGTGGCTGGTGGGTTTGAGCCTCTAGCCTTCTGGTTAGCAGTCAAGTGCCTTGGGCACTATGCTACCAGAGCTCCCTCTGTAGTGACTAGCCCACCCCATGTAGGAGAAGACTGTGGTTATCAGCCATCATCTAACAGCTTCTGGCCCTTCCTTGCCACACCTTCCCGACTGAGGCCCAATTCTCTGCTCTCCTCCTCCTCCTATGTGTCATTGCTTTGTCTCCTTTCAGAGTCAATGCAAAGACTCCAGGATGGTGTGGGTGTGAGTGGCAGTCGCTAGGATAGTGGTGGTGTCATAACCTCCTGGGAGGCGTTCCTAAAGTACTTTTGTTCCCCACCCGGTGACTCTGGCTTAATTCTCCTGTTTGAAGATGAGTCTTGGATGATTCTAACACCCCCCCCACATCACACTGACAACCACCAATCGGGCCCAACTGGCGACGCCTGCTCAAGAAGGGGTCGGCCTTCTCTGAGGACACAGTCACCTAGCAGATGCGAAGAGCAGAGCAGGGTCCAGTAACGTTCTGCCCAGTGCTCCCTTTATCAACCACACACGGTCTCCCCCAAACACAGTCTGTGCAACATCATTACCCTAGAGAAGCTGGGCTCTCACAGACGAAGAATGAAGTGCTGTTTGGGGCAGGATGGGGGCAAGAGGCAGGGAGAAGTACAACCACAAAATAGGTTTGTTTCTGTTGACTCTATGGAGGCCATTAGGCCTCCGCTCCCAGGTCTGAACAAGGACTGAATTTAGAGGCTCTGTGAGGACAGCAACGAAGCATTCCAAAAGGGGAAAACTAGCTTCTCTTAGCTCTGGGTCCCAGGCCAGTGAGTGCCCTTTAAGGTCTGGCCCCAAGGGGCATCTTGTCTATCAACAGAGACTGAAATTGCAAGAAACTTTAAAGTAGCATTTTGCACGTCTAGGTTATTGCATCAGACATGAAAAACATCAAACAACAACAACAAATGACACAAAGACCTCTTATGCTCCTAGATGTTCCTATGGAACCACCATTTCCTGCAGCTGAATTCTCAGGAAGAGCTGTGTACTTCACCTACCTAGAGGAATGCTGAGTTCACTGAACACATCCTCTGGTTCCCAGGAAGGCAAAGAAAGTGGCTGTTTCAGCTCTACTTCGGTGTATTCCGGTGACCTTGTGTCCAGAGATTTGGTTTCCAAGTACCTGGAGTTTTCTACAAAACATGAGCCAAGGAAAAGAACTAGTGGAACAGGCCATGCCTCAAAAAAAGCCTTGCAATTCGCGTTCCTGTACTGTGTGATCACGACTGTCACTTGGGCTGCTCAATAACGTGATGCTAGGAAGAGAACCACAAATTAAAACCAAAGTGCCATCATTAAAGAGAGTTTTCCACTGCCCAAAAGATGCCACACACAATAAAACCTGGCAAATCTGTGCATTCAGTCCCGGGAAAAGGGGCTTTGGTGCCTTTAGTTGAGATGATCCACCCCCACACCCCTCAACTCAGTATCATTTTGTCTCTGCAGCCAGAAGAGCTACTGAAGGACAAAAACTATGCTGACATCTATGGGAACAGGGGGGCTGGCAAGAAGGCAATGCCATTCTCACTCCAATCTTGTCAAGCAGTGTCATTTGCTATGAACTCGAAACACTGGGTAAAGTAATAAGCCACTAACACAGCAAAACCCCAGTAAAATGACAATTTTGCTCCTCCTTTACCCCTGCGAGCCTGGGCCTCAGGGTTTCTCTAGCAACAAGGAGGCAGGTCATGGTCGAGTTTCCATGGAGACCTCGATCTATGCAGGTGAAAAACAGCTCAGGTCAGCCCGACTCGAGAAGAAAAACCCAAGCCTCTGGATGAACTAGCAGTCCTGGCAGCCCCCAGAGCACCGGGCTGAAATGTCTGCTTTCAAGACTTGCCCCTCTATTTCCTTGCCCCTGGCTCTGGTCCTCTTTCTTTCAGCCTCTGGTGCACTGCAGGTTTTCCTTCAAATCACTCTCTCGCTCTTTGCAAGGTGAGAGCCATAAGGGCTATTAGCCTTCCCTCCTCCGCCTGACCCCCCCCCCCCCAGTCCTTGATGGAGCTTAGTTTCCATTTGGCAGATAAGACCTGGCCCAGTTTATTTTAAACTCACTCTCTTTCATGATGTCACAGTGCTGGGCAGCGACAGCACATCACCTCCAAGGGAGGTGGAGGAGATCCTGGGACGTATCTTATTTCACTACCAGACCTTGTAGACAAATGGGTCTGAGGTAGTAAAAGGGGAACAAACCCTTCCTTTGGGAGCCCCTCACGCCTTCTCCCGTTCTCTTTCTCCACCTCCCACATTCCCACACCCTCCCTCAGGCCTCAGAGTAAGTCTGGGTGGTCCTTTGCCTTGGACATGTGAGGCTGCTTGCTGACCCCACTTGTTTTGCTGGTAACTCAAGCTCATTTGGGTTGTCAGAGTCCATCTGGGGGCTCCCCTAAGTTCAGAGAACACTATCCTTTCTGAGCTTGCTTCTTGCCAACTTCCGGCCTCCTACCTGATCTCCTTGATACCATTCACCTAAATGCTCTAACAGTTTAACCAGGCTTTCAGAAGCTTGTCTCTGGGACTAAATTACTTTCTGCACCTGCCTGACTGCTAGTGAAAACCTCACTGAGGTCTGTTCCAGCCTGCACATGCCCACACACTTCTTTAAGCAAGCTATTGTCCGACCAACCCAACCGCACATGAGAAAAAGGGGAGCTAGTTACCCTGGGTCAGCACTCCGTGGCAAGCCTGGCTTTGGAGGTCGGTGTCAGTGGAGGGGCTGGCTTTCTCCTCCAGGGGGCTGCTTTCACAAGCCCCGTCTTCGGGGGTCCCCCTGGGCTTGCTGTCATCGAGAACCGGGCTAGGCTGCCGGGCCCTCTTCTCTGCTGGCTTGGGGGAAGACATTTGCTGGACTGCAGGGTCCAGACAAACATCTGTGCTCTCTGCTCCTGTGGCCTCTTTCTCGTGGCAATCTGAAGCCACCAGTGAGTAGCCTGTTTCACATTCAGCTGGCTTCTGCTCAGCATCCCGATTTAGGCCTGGCGTTTCCACGTCCATGTCACTGGGACAGCTCCCGGAAGCAGAAGGCAGTTCTTTGACCGACTCGAGGCTGATTTCGGGAGTCCCAATGCCCATGGTCTTGACTTCTTCCTTGGCCAAGTCCAGGTCTAAGGTGTTCGTCCCACAGGGGCACATTTCTGGGCACGGTGTGTCTTTCTGGTCAACGGGCACAATTTCTCCCAGCTCTGGGATGTCTGGTTCCATGATAAAATCTTCTTCCCCCACTTCATCCACTGTGACCAGCTCCTCCATGTTAGTGGGGTACCAGCTCTCCCCTTCTGCCTCGCTTCCACTGTCCCAATCATGCTCCTGGACAAAAATGCAGAATGGTGGTCAAGGAGTGGCTTAGGAATGGGGCCCTGGTATTCAACCAGAATATGCAAACCTTATCACCAGGACCCTTCAAACCAGGGAGATTCTGAGCAGCAGTCTTCTAGCCACAAGCAAGCACTGGGCAGTGGGGAGCTGTACACTATTCAGGTCCCCATCACTGATTCATCTTTTGAGGTTCAAAACCACATAAGATCTAAAATAAGCCCTTCATGTTTAATCCATCACGTTTAAAGTGACACAAAGAATTTCAACCCCTGGCACATAGTAAGTGTTCAATAAATTGTTTTTGAATGAGTGAAAGATTAAGCTAAAAACTCCAGATAAATCAGGTTGCTGGAGCTATTTCCTTGCATTTGGGGCATCACTAAATGTAACTGGGGCAAAGTCCACCCCAAAATGCCCCCAAGCGCTCTCCTCCCAGCAAGGGTGAAACTTCCACAGTCAGGGCTCACACTGGACCCCTCCTGAAACTTTCCCCTTGGCCTCCTTAGCAGCCCTCAGACCCAGCAGACAGCTCCAGCAGACCAGCTTCCCTGCCGGCGATACGCATTTCCCCAGCCTCTCCTGACCGGAAAAGCACGACGTTGGCCATGGTCCAAGGACATTTCTTTTTGCTGTGGCAATCCCAGCCCAAGAGGATTTTTTTTTTTTTTTAATTAAGTAAAATAATCTTTACAAGCACAGAAGACATCTTGTTAATCCCAGGGTCTGGGCCTGCCCAGGTCAGGGCCCTCACACAAGAGCCCAAAGCCCCTGAGAGACCTGTGGGTCTATTTTGGGAGCTTGGCTCTGAAGTGTGAGTCTTTTCTGGGCACATGTCTTCTCTTACTAGGTACAGCTAAGTCACTAGAGTATGAAGCAGAGGCCAGTGCAGGTAAAGAGTGCCTCTAAAAAGCCCATGACAATCCCAGGCAAAAGCCATCCCACCAAGAAGTGCTCGGAGGACTGAGCCACTGGTGGGTCTCAGACACAGTCCACTCGATGGGCCATGACGTGGTCCCCAGTGGCTGTTGGCAGATGGGCCTAAACTGCCAGTATGTGGGCCAAACTTCACCTTCTTGTTCCTTGTGCTTTCTGGATCCAAGGACTCTGTTTCCTTCTCTGGCCTGTTCACTGATTGGGGGCTTTCTTCCATGCCCTCCTGTTCTTTTCTAGCCTTGAAAAAAGAACAAAACAAATTAAATCAACAGTGAGCAGTAGCGGAGAAAAGAGGGCACACCAAGGAAAAATAAGAACATTGAGCACAACCAACAGTAGCCAGGCGCACTCCACATACATTGTTTCCTTTATCCTCGTAAAAGCCCCCAAAAGCAGGTCCTATTACATTTTCATCTTACAGATGAGGCAATGGAGGCTCAGAGAGGTTAAGTAACTTGTTCAAGGCCACACAGACAAATGGAGGCAGAGAAATCTCTTGAAGCCTGGCCTGATGTCTTGGTGGAAGAGAGGAGGGCAGAGATCTTTGGCAAACTAGTAGTTCTGCAGCTATCAAAGCCTGTAGACAAGAAGGTGAGCAGAAGGGGCCAAGGGTGAATTGGCTTGGGCAGGCTCAGCCCCTGGGATTAACAGTCATCCTGGTGGATCTCTCCAACAGACCTGGTTTTAAACATCTAAAATGACCTTCAGGCCATTTCTGGGTAGGAAGAGGTTTGTCCCCAGTTGGTGTCCCTCTCCCCTCTCTGTTGCCCTATCCGTCCTAGCACTCTAGCCCAAATCAGTAACCTCCCATGTCTATGAAATTTAACAGCTGAAAGCAGGTTGAGAGGCACCGGTGGCTCAGTGGTAGAATTCTGGCCTTGTACGCAGGAGACCCAGGGTCAAGTCCAGGTCTGCACACCTCACACACAGCCACCACTCATCTGTCTGTGGGAGCCTGCATGCTACTGTGAGGCTGAACAGGCTTCAGTGGAGCTTCTAGACTAAGACGAGCAAGAAAGGCCTGGTCATCTCCTTCCAAAACTCAGCCAATTAAAACCCCATGGATCACAACGGTCCAACTGGCAACTGATTCTGAAGATGGTGCAGGCCCCGGCCACATTTTGCTCCATCATGCATGGGGTCACCATGATGGACTTGACAGCAGCTAACAAAGAAGACAACAAGGGGGTAAGCAAAGTATATAGTCTGTGGGCCAACTCTGGCCCCTGCCTGCCTATTCCTGTATAGTCCATGAGCTAGGAATGGCTTTTACATTTTTAAATGGTTACATTTAAAATGGTTGTATAAATACCTACATAATATCCAGTTTTGGGTCCCCAAAGCCTAAAATGTTTACTATCTGGCTCTTTGTAGAAAAAGGTTTGCCAATCTCTGCTTTAGAAAGTTCTGGAGGACACTGCTCCATGACTTCTTTGGTCACCAAATCAATGACGACTCCACAATGTGCTCAGAGACAAGTTGCATTTTCTAGACCTTTGAGGGTGGTTCAAAGTAAACGAATCTAGTTCTAATTTCTTACACCCAGACACACACCCCTTGAGCTGAGGAGGACCCAGCTGGGGCGGAAGCTCAGGGCCGACTGGTTTAACCAGTTATTATCAGACAGGAACGGATCATTCAAATCCTCAAGCCCTTGTTCTTTCCAGTGTTTGGGGCAGAAGACTCCACTGAAACAAGCTTGGCTGGTGTCTCCTGTGGGAGCTCCCGCATAGAGCAGCCACAAACATCTTGTTAGCCGTGGGAGCCCACAGCTCTGACCAATAGATGACTGCTTTTCTTTATTTTCACCTCCCTGAATAAATTAGTCATGGCTTTTCTCATCAAAATAAAGACTCCTCCCCCTTCCCAAGCAGTCCCTGCAGCCCCATGTCTAGGTATTCAGTCAACACACAAGGAGACTCACTCCAGTTCAAGCTGGGGAAAGGCAGGGACAGCCTTGCTGAGCCCCAAGCCCCTGACCAAGTGGGCCCCTGTGCATCCTTCCTGCAGACAAAGGAAACGGGGCGGTGCCTTTCGGGGCGTCCCTTGCCTTGAAATCACTTTCAGGTGAGAGCAGCAGTTTAAGGGAAACCACGGCTTGAACTGGTTCACTCCAGTTTGAGTCCCTGCTGAAAATTAGCCTTCCCACCCCAGACAGAATGAATCAGAATCTACATTTTAACAAGGCCCCCAGATGATTCTTATAGATTGCCAGGTGATTTTTATCTATACCTGCAAGGGGCCTGGGCTCATGCTCAACTACCTCCTGACTGGCCTCCCATGTCTGCTCTGTGCCCTCCTTCCAAATTTACACTCCTCAAAGCAACCAGAGTGACTGTTCCAAATTGTACAACCACATCTTCTTGCTTAAATAGTTCATCTCCTTCCTCTTTCACTTAGGATAAAGACAACAATCTTTCACCTGCCTGCAAGGTCCTGCACCATGTGGCCCCTGATGGCAAATCAGCCTTACTCTCTGCTCCAGCAACACTGGCCTCTCTTTTCCTCCAGCCACAGGACCTTTGCACAGGCTGTTCCCACTATTCTCCTTCTGTCTCATCTAGTAAATACCCACCATTCCTTCACATCTTAATAGTCATGTCCTAACCAAAGGAAGCCTCCGACGCATTACAGGCACTCATGGCCACCTCCTTCTTAGCACTTGGCAGTCAGTCTGCCGTTCAGCTGAGGAGTTATTTGATTAGTGTGTCTTTTCCACTAGGCTGAGCCCCAGGAGATCAGGAGTCATTTCCATTTTCACTCACAACTGCAGCCTGAGTGTGCGAGGCTCTGTGGATATTGGTCAGTAAAAGAATGGAGATGCGTGGTGGTGGTGGTGGTGGAGGAGGAGGAGCTGGAGTGGACAGCAGCTCATATATGCCTTCCGGCAAGCATGGGTCTCTGTCTGGAATCTGAACCGAGCATGTTATTGCTGTTGTTAGGTATCACTGAGTGGATTTACCCAGGGCAACCCTGTGACAGAGTAGAGGTGCACCCCTCAAGGCTGTAATCTTTAGGGAAGCAGACTGCCACATCTTCCTCCTATGAATCCATTGGGTGGATTCGAACCACCAACCTTGTGGGTAGTAGCCGAGTGCTTAACTGTTGCACCACACAGCACATAAGTGGTTTTTCTCTCTCTCCCTCATATGGGTTATTTATAGTGGGGGCTGCATCTGGCCCACAGACATGTTTTGGTCTATACAGTTTCTACAACGCAGGAAATTCATACAGATTCTGTATTACTCTAAGAAATAGCAGATCTGGAAGCCAGGGGCTGACATTCTTGAAGGGCAGCCACAGAATAGAGCTAAGCACTGGCTGGTGCCTCCAACAGACAGGCACCCTCTCTTCAGTTGGCCATGGTCCCCCTTGGCTTCACTCTTTTGTGTCACCTGTCTGGCTTCTCTTCCAGAAGGGAAAGAGTCTGTTATGACTTGAATAATATCCCCCAAGAAGTTATGTTGAATGTGTTGTAAGAATGTCCATATAAATAGAACAGGGGGCAAAGTTACTATAACTTCTTAGGCACAGTTAGCCACCCTGATGGAGTGAGGTGTTGGACCTGTGGATTCAAGACTATGGTCACAGAACAGTGAGGTCAACTGGCATGACGTACTACATAAAAACATTGTTCTACAGCTAGATGTAACAATTGGGCTCTCCTCATCTGGAGCAAAGAATGAAGAAAACAAAAGATGCATGGGAACAATTAATCCAAAGGACTGGTGGACCATGCGAACCTCAGTCTATATGACCACAAGACCAGAAGAACTAGATGGTGCTTGGTTACCACTGTCAACCCCTCGGAAAGGGATCAGTGCAGGAGATCCTTGATAGAGTGGAAGAAAAATGTGCAACAAAACTCAAAATCACAAAAAAAAGAAAAGGCCCAGGCTTACTGGTCTGATAACCAAAAAAGAAACCCCTGAGACTATGGCCCCTAGTTACCCTTCAGGCCTGGAATTGAACCTACTCCTGTGACTTCAAGTCAAACAAAAGGTAGGCATATTGGGTGAACATTTACATCAGGTAGATACATTCTTTAGATCAATCATGGGAGAACAGAAGGACAGTGTTTTGCACAGGGAGATAGGTCAGGGGGCAGGAATTCATAGGAAAGAAGGACACAAGGAAGAGGTAATTATAGGGGAGAAGTGGGAAGAGAGCTGTTACATTGTGGGAATTTGCAGTCATGACATGAAACAAAACATGTATGAACTGCTGTATGGAAAATGAATTCGCTCTGTAAACTTTCACCCAAACCACAATAATTTTTTTTTTTTTTTAAAAGATTAAAGCCAAAAAAGAAAACGAAGTTATGTTGAAGCCCTAATCCCATGAAAGTGACTTGTTTGGAAAAAGTGTCTTTGAAGATGCTATTAATTAACATGAAGTCACACTGGAGTAGGCTACATCCTAATCCAATTTAAATGGTGTCCTTATTAAAGGGAAGAGGAGAAGAGACACAAAGAGACGGACAGAGGGAAATGGCCATGTGACAACAGAGTTTTGCTGCAGCTGCCAGAAGCCTGGAGAAACAAGAAAGGATCTTCCCCTAGAGCCTTCAGAGAGAACGTGGCCCTACCCATAGCCTGAATTCAAATGACAACCTCCAGAACTGGGAGACAATACATTTCTGTTGTTTAAAGCCACCAACTGTGTGGTGTTTTTGTTACAGCAGCCCTAGGACGCTAACACAGCATCTGAATCTATAACTCACGCTCTCCCCTTCCAGTAAGTTTCTTTGGCTTGTTTTCTTGCTTTAGTGATCTCTTTCCTTCTTCCTCCAGCATTGTGGTCAGTGTTGGGTCTCTTGCACGGCCCTGGCCACATACAGCTCTGAGCAACATAGCACTGGCCACTCCACCACAGGTGCTTTCTCCAGAGATCTCGGGTTTCTAACGAGCACAAGCTCACTTAAGTCCTGCAACAGCCTTTGTGATCATACCCATTTTACAAACAAGAACCGAGGCACAGAACAGAGCGTGACCTGGTTCTCAAAAGCCAGACCTTTGCCTTCAGACTCTGGTTCAGTCATTTGTTAATTCAAAAGACACTTATCGAGTGCCCACTACGTGCCAAGCCCTAGTCTAAGGGTCTGGAGACACAACAGAGAGCAACAAAGACAAAAACTCCCACCTTCATGGAGGTTATATTTAGTTGGGGGGGGGTGTGTGGAGAAGAGAGACATGAAATAAAATGAAGTGCTAACAAAACATGTAAGTGAGAAGGGGGAGAAGTTGGCTGGGGGTGTTGGGATGTTATGCAGTGGCCAAGAAAGGCCTTGTGGAAGATTACAATGAGTAAAGATTCAGAAGATGTGAGGACAATGACGATGAGTAAAGATTCAGATGTGAGGACTTCAAGAGGGAAGGGGACCTTTCAGGTAGGGAAAGCATGTGCAAAGGCCCTGTGGTGACAGGTACCTGGTTTAGTGGAGGAATAGCAAGGAAATCATCCTTAGCCCTGCTGCCTCTTTTCCAAATTCAGTTGCTGCCTGTGACCCACTCTGGGGATAACTCTGTGGGGATCTGGATTTTTTTCAAGTTCATGATACAGCCATTTTTGAGATTGGTAATACAAACTCTTGGTTCTGCTGTTATTTCAACAGGGTTAGACTGCATGTTGAGGCCCCAACAAGTCCCTACTGACCCCACTCTAGGGCTATGAGAAGGAGAATTAGCTAGAGGGACAGAATTATGGGAAAACCCATAGGATTTTCTGGAATTTTTTTTTTTTTTTTTGCATCAAGCCCCCTTAAGCTAGCCTATAGTCCCCATCACCTTAAACAGGCAATATGATGCAAATTAGGGTAGGTGAAGCAGCAGGAGGTTACCAAATAGTCTAATAAGGGTGGGTGGGAGTGCAAAGGGGCAGCTGCACTCCTTTGCTGGGGGGTTAGCAGACTGGCTGTAGGTGGGCATTTATCTAAAGTCCAGGCTTCAGCTCCTTCCACCATTTGCTTCTCTGTGTCGCTGTGCCTCTTCTCAAGGCACGGACCCATCTCCAGCTCCTTGGACACCTCCAAGCATATACACTCTTCTTAAAGACAATCCCTGGTTCACCAGGTCCTCAGGACCCAGTTAAGCCCCCAGTGAAGCAAGGCCCTTCTTGACCCCACTCCTTTAAATTTCATCTCCTGCTTTTCTCCCTGCTATGCCTGTCAGGAAGAAGCTCTGATGGTGTAATGCCTAAGGCATTTGACTGCGAACCAGAAGGTTGGGGGTTCACACCCACCAGCTGCTCCATGGAAGGAAGATGAGGCAATCTACTTCTGTAAAGATTTACTGCCTTGGATACCCAATGGGGGTCGCTATGAGTCAGAACCGACTCGATGGCAGTGGGTTTGGTTCAATTTGGTTATGCCAGTCAGGAAAAATTGTGGCAGACTCTGAAATGGGCAGAAAGGATTGCTGGGTGTCCTTTGCATGGAATGTGGACAACTCTCCAGTATACCCAGGTTATTTGATTCTATTGGGGTCCACACCTTTCATTATCTTAGGATGAGCTATTTCACATCTCTGTAAATTGCAGAAAACTGATATTAATGTAAACAAATCCTATTCATAGAGATGCAAATGATTTCCCGGCCCTGATGGAAGAGGCCAGTTTTACACCTATGGGCAGTCCTGGGTTATGATTGAGATCCATTCCTAAGTGTCTTTAAGAATTTGTAGGTAAGTCCAACCAGGGACATATGGTTTTTATTTACTTTAGTGAAAGAACTAACACCAGCTGCTCCACAGAAGACAGATGAGGCAGTTTGCTTCCAAAAAGATTTACAGCCTTGGAAACCCTACGGGTGTTGCTATGAGTTAGAATTGACTTGATGACAGTGAGTTTCCTTTTGAGTTTGGTTAGTGCAAGAAAAGGCTCGAAGGCTTTTCAGTTATTTAAAAGCTGTGTGTGCAGCAAATGAAGGTGACTGTGATGAATTTGCTGTGAGCAGGAGTTGACTGAATTGTTTCAACGTGAGGGCAAATTTATATAACACTAAAGGGCAAGAAGGGGTTGTCCATAAATTAGACATTCTTGACCCAGGACTGCCAGAATTAGCAAACTCATTGTAGCATTCCTGACTGCCTGTATGTGTATGTGCTCTTTGGCTTCTCCTTTTAATTGTTTTTTTACATCTTGGTGCATTAATGATTATCTAAAGAAAATCTTTGCCATGTATTCATTTTATATTTGCATGAAGGGGATGATTTTATTTTTCAAAAAATCATCCTTTGATATGTCCTAAGACTGTAGCCACGCTAGTATCTCCAGATTCTTCAAAACAGTCTCTTTTTGACTTTTGCTCTTGCTGCTGCTTCTACTAAGAATCCCAAACTCCTTTTTCTCTACCTGCAATACCCAGCTCAAATGCCACCTCATCTATGCAGCTTTCCTCCACAGAGTTCATAACTGCTTACATAGCAGCTTGTCCACCATTCAATTCCAGCATGTGTCCCACTGTATCTCAGGTGTTTTTTATAGGTCTGTTTTCAGCATCAGACCTTGTTTTATGCCATAACATGGACTATGTCCAATTCACCTTTGGGACCCTGGACCTAGCACAATCTGGGAAAGTACATTCCCCCACCAATGCAGGGGAAGGAATGCTGATGTACTGGCCAGAAATATGACTCTTCAGTGTTGTGGAGTTGACCACTGGGCTCATTATCTGGGCTCATTAGTTATCACCAACTCCCAGGTCAGGGTGACTAGAAGATATGCATGAAGGACTAAGAAAATTCAGTTCTTTATGCAGACCCCACAACCTCTGTTACCCTCCCCTACTTAAATATAAGAGGCTCTGGTGACAGGGAAGTTAGAATACAAATCTGGTACCCAGAGTCCTTCTCATGATCCACAAAGTGAACTGAAGTAACACAAGGATTGCTGGGTGTCCTTTGCATGGAATGTGGACAACTCTCCAGTATACCCAGGTTATTTGATTCTACCTGGTACAGGTTGCAAAGTCTTTTCAGATGTCTGGATGGAAGGGTGCAGCTAACTGCTGTGCATTTTTATTGAAGTGGAAGTAAAACACTGTGGGCAGCTGACTTTGTCTAGAGAAACATGCCAAGCCCTTGGCATCCAGTATAATTTAGTGGGTGGTGGCTGCTTCTCCTTTACCACCTCTCATTGAAGCCCCAGGATTGGTAGATAATTTTGACAGGAGAGAGGACTGAGTAGACCAAAGATATAATCTTCCTTGGCACACTCTGTGGGTGCAAACACCTCAGGGCCACTCCACCCTGGATAAACAGGACCACAGAGGCCCCTGTGCCAAGTCCTTCCGTAACTTCTAGTAAAGGCACCAGGGTGTAGTGGAAGTCATAGCCAGATAGCCTGGCTATAATCCTGGCTCTACCATTTTCTGACCACATGTCCTTGAACAAATAACTCAGGCTCTCTGTACCTCAGTTTCCTCATATGTAATAATGCTGTGAGAATTAAATGCCTTAATTCTGAGATAAAATGTTTAGCACAGTACCTAGCAAAGAGTTAACATTCAATAAATGCCTGTGCATTGTCCTTAAATGATTACTATTGCTTCTATTGGTCTCCCTGGTGAAGCCCTGGTTGCACAGTGGTTAAAGCATTCAACTGCTAATCAAGAGGTCATGTTCAAACCCACCAGCTGCTCCAGGAGAAAGATGAGGCAGTCTGCTTCCATACAGATTCACAGCCTTGGGAATCTTAAGGGGCAGTTCTACTCTGTCCTATAGGGCTGCCATGAGTTGGAATCGACTCGCCAACAACAGGTTTGGTTTCTCCTTTGGGACTTGCTTGGCCTTACCAATGGAAGATATTGCATCATTACCTCATTCTCTGCCATTTTGCTTTCTTTTCTATCATCAGCTCCTTCTTGGTCTCTACCGGGTTTCTTGGTTTTATTTCTCTCACTCTGCTTGGCCTTGGTGTTTGCAGGGGCCCTTGTGACCTTTGGCTCCAGCCCATCCTCCTTGCCCAAGTCCTCAGGGTGAGGGTGCCTGCTCTCCCGCAGCCTGACCTCATCCTTCCTCCTGGACCTCCCAGAAGCATCCTGCTGCTGCTTTGAGTACTTGTCCAACTTGGCTTTGGGCTCCTTCCGGTAGTAGCTGTCTTCCCGGCTTTTGTAGCTGGACAAAGAGTGGAGTGGATTGGGAGACCCAGACCTCAGGTACTTTTCTCGGTGGCCCCTCCCTCCTTCCAGTCGCTCATCTAACTCGGCTTTGTCCAGTTGCCGGGGGTAGTGTTTGCGATCATGTACCCACATGTCCGTCCGGTCCCTCTTGTCCTCCCCGTTCTCCCTCCAGGGGGGCGGATCTCGTTGCTCCTCCCTCCTGGCATAGGGAGAGTGCTCCCACGAGTCCCTGCCGTTGCCCCAGTCAGCCCTGGAGGGCACAGGAGGGCTGTGGGAAGAGCTGCAGGACGTGAAGCTCGGTGTATGGGACCTGGGGGAGAGCGAGCGGCTCACCGGACTGCGGGACCGTGGCCTCTCTGGGCCGTATCTGTGAGGGAGCAAAGGAGCCAGCTTTAGAATGTGTTCACCCACACCCATACCTATCCACCTGACACACACACAGATAGATACACAGAGGCTCACATATACTGTGCATACAACACTCTTTGGTCATACACCCTTCACTCAAAACTTTACAGAACGACAGAGAGGGCAGAGAGAAAGCCTTTTCCTCCGGCCTGGTTTCTAGGTGGCACAAATGGTTACCATGCTTGGCTGCTAACTGAAAGTTTAGAGGTCCACGTCTACCCAGAAGGGCCTCAGAAGAAATGTCTGATGATCTACTTGCTAAAATTGGCGACTGAGAACCCTCTAGGGCACAGTTCTACTCTGACCCACATGGGGTCTCTATTAGTCGGTATCGACTTCAGGGCAGCTTGTTTGTTTGGGTTGGTTTCTGTGGGGAGGCATTTTCACTAAGCACAGTTCCGACTGCAGTGTGCCCCTCCCACTCATGGGCATTGGGGGGAATAACTGGATAGTTTTGGCTATCAGTGTCATCTTTCTTTCTCTTGAAAGTGAGCTCCAGTCAGAAAGCAGGACTCTTCTCTGGGGTGTGTGTGAGGTGGGACAGCAAGGTAAGGCTTGTCCTGGTCCAGCCTGGTGAGTAAGACTGCTTAAACCGAAAGCTCAGGTAGCTGGCCTCAGGTTCCAAGGCTTGAAGCTACTCTTCCACCTGGTCTCTATCAGCGTCAAGGTGACCCATTGCTCATTTCTCTTTCAATTTATTCAGATCCAGGGCATGGAAGAAAGCCACTATTTACTGGCAGGGCAGGGGAGAGGGATCAGACTTCTAAACACAAATTAGGAAGGTATTTTAGGGTTGGAAGAGACCTTAGAGGTCTGACATGCTGATGTCTGAGATAAAGAAACTGGGACCCAAAAAATGACTCCTGCCCACCCACGGTTGTGAGCAAGATCTCTTAGTCCTGCCTCCACTCTGCCACAGAACTGCCTCTGTACAGTGTGGCTTTATGCATGTCTTTAGAAATGCCAAACAAACACATGAAAATCCCGGTCTCAGTGGTAAGTTACATACAAAGATATTTATAGACACACACTGTGAAGGCTGTTTGGTCATCAAGCAAGTCAACTGACTCATATTCTTGATATTCTAAAGGGACGGGAATTTTCTATCTGGTGCCCAAATATAAGGAAACCATGCAACCCTCACTGACCTGGGGCCGCTGGGATGTAGTTCATGAAGACCAGGCTGTACAGCCCATCACAGAGGACACATCCTGGGCTCGTGCCCTCTACAGTGAGGTTAGAGCACCCTCTGTGGCAGCCCTGGGAAAGGAGCACAGGCTGTGCCAGCCAGGCCCATGCCCACAGTTTTTCACCTTGAATCTCCATTGGGACCATCTTTGCAGGAGAGTACTGTGGTCAACTTGTCACCCCAGCCTGCCATGGGCACAAACTGAAGTTGCAAGAATGGGTTGGAACGCTAAGTGCATTGAATGTTCAGAGTAACAGTAATGACTGGTCAGGTAACAGTTTGTTTGTTTTCCGGATCATCTACATTCCTGTTTCTGCATGAAAGACCAAGAGTCGGCTTGACGCAGAACACACACACACACTCATACACACGCTCACACACAACACACACTCACTCACACACACACACAACACACACTCTCACACACACACTCACGCACTCACACACACAGTCACTCACACATACTCACACACACATACACTCACTCGCTCACTCACTCTTCACACACTCCTCCAAGCTGTTTTTGGGAGAGTGCACTTGCCCCAAAGGGACAAATATTAACAGAACTCCCCCTGCACTCCTTTCCAGAAAAGGAGAAGAGAGCTGAGAGGAAACCCGGCATTCTGCATTGTCCTGAACTTTCACCTCAGCAGAACTTCTGAACTGGACTGCTCGGAAAGGCGGATGGACAGGGCAGGGCCTGACTCAAATACCCCTGAGGAGGAAGAAAAGGAGAGTATGCCAGCTGCCCGGAACCTTCCCTGAGACCTAGGGCCAGGTCCTCACCTGTCTGTGTCCCGGAACATGTCCCTCTCCCTCTGGGAATGGATGTCTTGGATGATGGCAGCCACAGTTTTCCCCGGTTTCTAGAAAAAGTCAAAGAGATCACCATCCAAAGGAGGGAGGGAGAAAGAGGGAAGGGAAGAGGGAAGGAGGGAGGGTGGAAGGGGAAAGGGAAGGGAGGAAGGCATTTAAATTTGGAAGGAGGCTTGAAGGTCACAGAACGTAGCCTCCACATTTTACACATCTGGAAACTGAAACCCAAAGAGGTTCAGGCAGAGTCTCTGTGCCTTGCACAACTCTAGGAGCACCAGTGACATTTTGTCTAAGTCGATAATGACTCCTGAGTTGTGTGTTCAAGGTCACAGAGATAGTTATAGAATCAGAACTCAACAGTGGACATTTTAACTCCAAGATCCTTTCCATGCTCCACGCTCCCTTCAACAGCTGATTGTGTTGTATTTATCCTCAGGGGTCATCTGATGCTTTAAAAAAAAAAAAAAATCTGTTGTGTAGGTAGTACAGGCACCATGAGCCACATTTCACAGCTGAGAATGTAAAGTGCCCAAAGGCTCTGCCAGTGCTAGAGGTCACCAAATGGAGGCTGTGCTGGGACACGACCACTCCCAGGCCCTAAACCCCAAGCAAAGCCCTTTCCTAAAGCCAGAACAGACAAACAGTAACAGAACAATGGCAAACAACCAATGATTTCAAAAAGAAATTCACAAGCACAAAAGAAAGGCCAAGAGCATTTCCCAAAGACTACACAGAATTCATCCATTGACATAAAATACATCAGCAGGGTGGATTTTGTGGTATAGGGATCGATTACAAAATGATTTTAAAACTTCATTCTGTAATACCAACTTCTGAAAGTTTTATTAAAAAATTTTTTCAACTCTTTTTTATCTTTGATTTTTTTTTTTTTTTCCCTATGAAGTTAATAAAGAATCATGAAACCTTAGAGCTATACAAACATTAGCATCATCACGTTTCTCATTTTACAGGCTGGAAGACAAGTCCAGAGATGTGAAGTGAGCTTGCTGTGACTAGAGTTCTCTGAGTACTCTGAGTGACATGGCTGCTTGCCTGTGTTACTGTTTAGATTGAGGGCTAGGCTGGAGAAAGCATGGAGCAAAGGAGAGATGAAGAGGGAGCAGCCTGTGGTTTCAGGGTAAGAGGTGCAGGACCTACCAAAGGAACACAAAATACTCAAGGCAGGCAGAGATCTCTCGTATTGGTTCTCGAGATGCCAAAAGGCAACCAAGAGAAGATGGTGGCCCCCATCCCTGTGGCCATGAAAATGAGGGAGTCAAGAAGCCAGTAAATTCCCTATTCAAGAAAAAGTCCCAGGAACTGGTCAGGATATCCACCCTAACAGAGCCCTTACTGCTTTGGCAAATGGCCTCTTACATATGAGGCTATAAGGGTTGATCCCCTAAAAAGTGTGTGAAAGTGCCACCTGTAATTAACCAGATCACCTAGACCTTGGCGTCAACTAGCACTTCATGCAGAGATCCAAGACCAAGCAAATAAAGAACCTGAGATTGTTGCCCTGGGCTGAAAAGAAAGCTGCAGTTCAAGATGCCTCCCCTCACCCTCACCCCATGCCAGACAACCTGCCCTCAGTTGGGGTTTTTGTCACTACCTTGGAGTAGAGCAAGAAGGCTCATCTGGAGGTGATTGCACTCAATGGGGCTCCCACTGAGTTGGTCTTCTTCCTGCTTGGTTGCATTGAACTGTAAAATGGAAGCTCCTTACTGTATCATCAGAGAAAGGCCAGCCTGCAGCATTACTGCCTTCACAAAGGCCAACACACGTACAAATGGAGCTCTGGAGAGCTGTTGGCACCATCAGGACCAAGTACAAAGACCACAATCTGTGATCATCACCAGGGAGGCAAATGCTGGGTCCCAAATCTGTGACTCCCACTACCAAGCTGGAAAAGGCGAAGGCTAAAGAATGTGCCACCAAACTGGGTTAAATGTACCTTAGCAACTTTTTAGAACAGAATAATAAAAATTCCCCAATGAGGTTGGATAAAGGACTTTCTGCAGTTTAAAAAAAAAAAGAGTCCCCAAGGTCTCAAACGATCTTCTTCTGCTCCTGGGGAACCTGAAATCTTCCTGGCCATTTCTTCTAGCCCAGAGCCAGGACAGCCTGGGGTGAGGGGAGGGTGGCCTTCTCTGAAAGCAGCTGAGCATCTGTAGATTCCTGAGGGGCAGCCAGGATGGGGGTGAGGGGGCTGGGACCAGCAGGGCTCGGGGAAAGTCAAGCCACAGTCAGAGTCAGAGGCATTCCAGGACCTTGAGGTCCCTCAGCACCATGGTCATCACAGACAGCACACTTCATTCTCTGTCCCATGGCTTTCCCGTCTGGTGAGGGCAGAGCTGGCCATTCAGACACCATAAACGAAAGCATCCTGTAGTAAGTAGCCATTGGGATGCCCTGAGCAGGAGCCCATGCAGTCCCCCAGGACCAAGAGGCTTATTTGGAGTGCCTTTCTGGGGACTAGAAGAGCCTCTTTTTGGCTTAAACAGTCCTTGCCCCTTATTTTTCCCCAAAACAGACTATCTCCCTGGAGCCACATTCAGCCCCGGACCCTCTGGAGTTACTGATATTCAGGCCACGGTCCCCCACATTGTTCATCTTCACACAGCACCAGTGAAAAGCCTTATATGGACTAGGTGCTCCATGCCATTAGTTCCAAGATGGAAGGATGGATGGATGGGAGGCCAGTGCTTCAGAAGGCGCTGACCAATGAACAGGACAATCTGCAAATAGCCACACACCAGGGCTGTTCATCACTGGCATGTGAGCCCTTCTGAGGATCAGTGGGCCAGTTCCCTTGTCTTAAGTGATCATTGCAAAATGTTCGGTACTCTCTGGACCAAACGCCCTGCCAGCAGGCATCTAGGAAGGAGAGAGACATGGCCAAATGTTTTCAGATATATAATTGACTTCTCAGAGTCCCAAGAAAATCCCCTCAACTTTCCCTTTAGGTCTCCTCTCTACATCCTGTCGTTAAAGATGTAAAGGCCGCAGGTGAAATACAGGTGTACTCACCTGGGAAAAATGGAAACAAGAGAGAATGGAAGAGTTCTAGGATGAAATTTGGGGTAACTTTTTAGTGTAGAAAATTTCAAACATAGACAAAAGTAGAGATAACAGTATATTGAACCCCCGTGAATCCATTGTATTGTTGTTGTTGTTATGTGCTGTGGAGTCAGACCTGACTCATAGCGACCCCTCCTTGAGTTTCTGAGGTGGTATCACTATGGAAGTAGATTGCCTAACCTTCCTTCCAAGGAAGGGCTGGTGGGTTTGAACTGGCAGCCTTCTGGTTAGGAATCAAGTGCCTTAGGCCCTACCCTACCACAGCTTCTTTCACCTGACTCCCCATCCTTTTTCCCTACCTTTTAAATCGTAGAAGTTTTCATCCATTCATAATAACATTGATGCAGCTCCACAGTCAACAGGGGACCATCACTAAGTGAGATTCCAAGTCCCCTGCAGTCCTAGGGAAGGATTAATGTACACTGAGGGTGGCACCAGGAATTGAGAATCTCAATCCAGGAAGAGCAACCCCAGCTTGGGGCCCCAGTGGCCTGGGGCACTGGGGATCAAGGCTCTTTGTCTATGGGGGATTCACATTCTCACCTATAAAGGGTGATAATGAGGCCCATCTGGTATCCACCAATAGCCTCAGGGCATGGCAAGGCTACACCGTTAGAACCACGGAGGGTTTGACCAACAGGAAAGGAGCTGCCAGAAAATTCAGTGCCCTCTGATGGCTCCACAGCTGTTTTACATATCCCAAGAGTCCTGGGCAAGGCTAGATGCTGAGTCCTTCCAGATGAACTCCGAACTCTGAATTCATCAGAGCCCAAGCCTGTCAATTCTTGACACTACTGTGCTTTCCAGCCTTATGAGACTGCTTCTTACCTGATTCCTTCTGCCTGAAAGTCCCTTCTCTGTTTAGGTAAATTCCCCTTATCTTTTTTTTTTTTTTTTTTTTTTAATTGTGATTTGGGTGAAAGTTTACAGAGCAAATTCGCTTTCCATACAGCAGTTCACATACACTTTGTCTCATGACATTGACTACAATTTACCACAATGCAACAGCTCCCCTCCCACTTCCTCCCAATAGTTACCTCTTCCATCCCTCCATGCACTCCTGCCCCCTGAGCTATCTCCCTGTGCAGCCCTTCTTTCTCCCATGATTGTTCGCTCCAAGGAGTTTATCTACCTCAGGTAAATGTTCAACTCATATGCCTGTCTTTTGTTTGTCTGGAAGGCACACATGTGGGTTCAATTACAGAACTGAAGAGGACCTAGGGGCCATAGTCTCAGTAGTTCTACCAGGCTCTATCAGACCAGCAAACCTGGTTCCCTTTTTTTTTTTCAAATGATTTTTGAGTTCTCCCTCTCTATCCAGGATCTCCTACATAGATCCCCCTCCAAGTGGTTGACAGAGGTAGCTGGGTACCATCTAGTTCTTCTGGTCTCATAGTCATATAGGCTGCAGATCGCATGGTGTACTAGTTGCTGAGACTAATTGTTTCCCTGAATCTTTGATTTTCTTCATTCTTCTTTGCTCTGGACAAGGAGAGACCCATCATTGCAATTCCCCTTATCTTTTAAGACCCTGCTCAGTAATCTCTCGCTTCTTTACACTCCTAAGCCACACTGCCTTTTGTCACTCAACTTCCGTAGTATCTTCTGAACTTGATGCATTTATGTTTAAATCTTATGTAATTTTGCAAATAGCTTGTCTCTCCAGTTAGATTGCAAACTCCCAAGTAAGGACTACCTCTTACATTCATTCTATATACATTCTTACATACATTTAGCCAACTTACCTAGAGAAGACCTCCAATCATCATTTGCTGATTTCATTTTTACCAACTAAGATATTATGGACCACTCACAAGACTCCTTCTCAGGAGCTGTCTTTGTGGCTAGAAGGCTGGTGAAACCAGTGGTTCAGAAACCGACCCTCGATCCCCAGAACCACTTGGAAACTATCTCAGCCCCAGCCCCAAATATTGAATAAGAATCTCAGGGCCAGAGAACCTGAAAATAA